GTGTGTGTGTGTGTGTGTGTGTGTGTGTGTGAGAGAGAGAGAGAGAGAACACTAAAAAATATTTTCAAGGGAAAACCAGGAAGATTTGTTCAATTGTTCCATTACTCAATTTTTCCCATGAAATGTATTTCTGTCAAGCTGTTCTGTGAATCTAAAAGTGGTTAGACAAAACAGCACTAAAAAGAATGGGGAAATTTAGTAAGCATAGGCAAGCTTAAGCATCCATTTCTCCCATACACCAGCCCTCTTTCTATGTCTCCCCCACATTTGAATTAACTTAAAAGTGTGGGGTTGGGACCATATGAATTGGATAGACCATCCTTTCACTAATGAAAACTAGTTCCAAGAAACTAGTTAGAACATAGGAGAAACTCAGTTTCAACTCTAGTTTTCTATTCTTCTTTGGAAGTATACTCTGGTGTGCAGTAAGGATGATTTGCTCAATTCAAACATCTTGACAATTTACAAGTATGGAGAATCAGAAAATAATGTATAGCCTGATTATTTGCAACTATTCATTAACTATCCCTACTTTTCTCTCTTAGATGATCTTTTTAAATACATAAATAATTACTGGGTTTCTGTTAAGGTACCAGTATGTGCTGAAGCAGTACAAGCAGTGCTACCTTGAACTTCCACTGTATAAACATGCTAACATGCTACAGATAGAATTATACATTCTCTCCACAAAAACAAAAGAAAAAAACAGTTTTTGTTCCCAAGCAACTCAGATTTTGTTTTAAGGGCTGAATTCAGCTACTAAATAAAGTTATACACTACTCCTATTTTGCTAGTGATGGAAATGAATCAAGTAGATCACTGCAATCCTTATCACTGATTTCACCCTCTTTAGTTTCTCCAGGCCCTATTCAAATATTTTCAAGATTAATTCCACACTCACAAACAAAAAAAGAATGAGATTTCACACTTTTGCAGTGCATTTGTCAATTTACCAATATAAAATCTAGAACACTAGAAACTGGTACACACAAAAACACCGTTTTATGATACGAGGTATACCTGTTTCTGCAGCACCAAGAATGTCCATGCTATCTCGAATTGCAGATGGTAGAGTTAGTGCTTGGATAGGAGTTGGTGTACTGAAACCCAACTCACTCAATGCCCAAAGGACAGGCGTAGGAACGAAGAGGCTCTTCCATGCAGAAACATCTGCTCTGTGATCTGCCGTTGCGGATAAGACTTTGGCTGTCCAATTATTAGCTTTTTTGGAAGATCCAGTTGGTTCAAGGATATTTTGGGGAGAACATGATTTCTTTTTCCCTCTCTTCTTTTTCTTTGCAGGTTTTCTTTCCAGGTCTGTCACCTTCCTTGTATTATAATCATGTTGTTCACACTTAACAAGGGCTTTTTTGCACCTGGCATCCTGTTCAGTTACTTCTTCCTCAATTTCATGCTCATCCTTCCTCCTTTTTCCATGTTCTAGATTTTTCTCCTTTTTTCTCTTCTTTTTGGGAATGGCACTACATACTTTTTCGAACTCTTCATCATTACATTTTCTTTTTGCAGCTTTTTCTTCTCCCTCTTTCAAGGAAGACACCAGTTTGTAACTGGTAAGCTCTTCAAAACATACTATGCCTCCAAGCTCTTCATCAGCAAAAAGATTTGGATCTATCTCAATGGGGTTCCATTGCCCTGTAACTTTGATGCCTTTTTGTTTCAATTTAGACGATGTTTTAAACTTGTTTCTTTTGAGCTTCATAATGGACCTTTAAACAAAGGACAAAGGGAAAAATTGAAAGTAAGGCTATGAGTTTATAACCTTGGCCAGACAGCCTTGATTATTGAATTACTGCACATCAATATGGAACTTTCATCCAAGAGTCCTTTAGCCCATCTACCTGTCAGACTGCCATGTCTCAACCTGGCAGAAATTACTCAGGCACTCAACATGGTAAGGCTAGATAAGAATATTTACTGCATATTAAGATGAAGCCAAAGGGTTGAACTGCTCTCTATCAACATGGAGACCCTCCTTATACCCACAGTGATTAATTATGGTCTTTCTTTTTGCCACCTTTCTGGAAGCTTAACAGATATTTAGCTTTTTGCTTTTCAGTCTTGGAGCTAACATTTAACAAGCCAACATTTCTGCCTTGAGAAATTCTAACTCCCAATATAATCACAACACTACCATATTTAAGAGTGTTCCTACATACAGGATTAGTTTAAAAAGTAAGGAATTAAACTTAACTCATTAATAATAACTAGCTGATTTCTCCTTCTACATGAAAGTAGAGTTTAATACAAATAACTTTTTTTTTTTTTTTGCAGAGAACTTTTACGTGTCCTCTGAAACTCTTGCACTCATGCTGGGATCAGAGAAGGAACAACAGTGCTGTGAAAATATTCACAGATGGCAGTTTTGATTAAAATCTACCTTAGCTTTAAAATATGATTTGTCTTAATTAAGCAATTGGTGTCTTCAGTTGTAAATGCAGGGCTAAATATGATGAGGTTTAAGTACAAATATTCATTTTTCTTGTTCATCTTGGAAAGATGGCAAAATTTGAGCTTTCATCTTTGGTTTCCACAGTAGGAGACAGTTTAAAACTTACAAGCTTAAACACAGAATTAATTTTACTGGTTAACTATTGAATGTGTTTCCCATTCCTTTAGTAACTGTCAGACCCCTTTCCCGCCTAAGTATAAGATGGCCATCTGAATACAGATTAGAAGTTGACATGTAGAATCAAGCCATGGGTCTACATCGTTCAGCACTGTTTACTCTAAATTACACGTTTCAGATGCAATCCCTCACTTCATCCTTCACCATTGGTCATGCCCAATAAGAATTGCAGTCAAAACTCTGCATGGCACCAAGTTCAGAAAGGAGTTTTCATCAGCTCTATTTTGAAATATTGGGATTTTAACTGAGGACTTTCTGCATGCAGCATATGTCCTGTTCTTGAGCTATGGTCCTTCCTTGTAACAACTATTATCCTCTTAGTTAATTGCAACTTCTAGATACACAGATGCTAGGAACAAATAACAGGAAAAGTTTATTGCTTTTAAACTGTTTTTGTGCTTCTCATTCACACTCAATACCTAGTATTGAAACAGAATATTAGATGTGTAGTTTGATGCAACAAGGTAGTTCTCTCATGAGAAACCAACTATCACCAACTTAATTATTTTCATCTGAAAAAATGAAGCATCATTCAAATACATTTATAATATATGCCTACCAAAGAAAGTACTGTATAGTCTTCAACAATATAGTAACAGAGATAGGTGCCAGCCTGTATTTAAAGTAATTGACAAAAGAAAGATTGCAAACTGGAGGGTTTTTTTCTATTTACTATTCAATTCCTATGCCTAAAGAATAATGTTGTATAAGGCACAGGGCTAGAAACTGGGAAACCATGAGTTCTAGTCCTGCCTTAGGCATGAAGCCAGCCAGCTGGGTGACCTTGGGCCACTCACTCTTTCTCAGCCCTAGGAAGGAGGCAATGGCAAACTACTTCTGAAAAACTTTGCCAAGAAAATTGCAGGACTTGCCCAGGCAGTCACCAGGAGTCAACACTTTGAAAGTACAAAAAAAAAAAAAAATCTAAAGCAGAGAGCCAATTTGGTACAGTGGTTAAGGCATCATGCTAGAAAACAAGAGACCTTAAGTTCTAGTCCTGCCTTAGGCACAAATGAGCTGGGTGACCTTGGGTCAATCATTCTGTCTAAGCCCTAGGAAGCAGGCCATGGCAGACCACTTCCAAAATCTTGCCAAGAAAACTGCAGAGACTTGTCCAGGCAGTCACCAGGAGTCAACGCTGAATGGAAGGTGTGCACACATGCACACAGACAAAAATTCTAAAGCAAGACTGGGCAATCTGCAAGATGAAGGGCCATGTGCAATTCTAAGGCACTTAGAGTTGAATGATTAAGGTGGCATAAAAACACTTGAAATAAATAGATAAAATAAATAAAGCCCCTGAACTTTGTTTTTCTGCTCCATTGTCTGCTTTAAATTTTGATGTGCAATACCTTCAACTCAATGGTAGATTGTTTGCTACTTGGAGGTGATAAATACAGAAACTGTAGCATAAATTCTAAAATAGACTTAACAAAGGGTTGATTTTTTTCATAAAGAAAACTTCCCCTCCCCCCAGGGACAGGAGAAATAAATGAAAACCTTGACTAGATCTTTCCATTTTGTATCACTGCCCTTAGACAACAATCCTTGTCAGTAGAACATTACAAATCCCTTCTCTAAAGCAAATAATTTCAGAATAATATTAAATGTCAAACTGGTAAATTGTAGACAGCCACAAAATAACCTTAGAGAAACTATGCAGAAATGGTTACAAAAACAAAAACCGCAGGCTTTGTGCATTTCTGTAGTCAACGAACATTTCAATGGAGACTATCTTCACTGAATTTGAGTTGCTAAAATGTTTATGAATTTGCACCTTTTTTTAAAGCAGTGGTACAAAAAGATTGAAAGATACATCTTGGGAAAAAAGTACACAGTGGAATAAAGTTGCACAGTAGAATTTGGTTTAGAGAAAATGTCAGAACTGGAAAAAAAGGAATGCAATGCATAATTTTATAAGCAAGCAAGTATATACAGGATAAATAAAGTAAGAATCAAATGGGTCTTTCCTCTTCCAAGAAAATATATATACATATTAGGAGTGGAAATTATAGTTTAACTGTACCAATCTTGAAAGTCCAGTTTTTAAAAAGGTAATAACAACTATTAGGACTTTATTGTTGATAATTTTCTTAGGGAGGAAAAAAAATCTGTCTTGTGAACACTCCTACTACAACAGGCTTCAATATGGCCTTCATATGCCTGTGTTCTCTTCTTTGTTTTTGAACATTTGGTTCTGCATATTTTGTTCTGTACAGCAATCTCCTCAAATTTGGTCTCAGTTGTAAATTTTTAATTTCAGGCATTATTCATGTACAATTTATATAATTACTGGCAACTGTTACCCTGGACTAAGGATTTAAAAGCTGGTGGGAAGCAATGAACCTAGGTTAAAGTCAATTGAGTATAGAAAAGGAAAAAAATTAAAATATGGATCTCAATTATACAGATAGAAGAAGTGAGAAGAAGTATGTCTGGAAAATTATTCCCTTATAAAAACGATTTAAAGACAGATTTAAGTATTTGACCAATTAAATATTAGTAAAAATTAATAAAAAAAGGATTCATTTTATGACAATATTAATTTTACCTAGCTACAAAATAACTAGTTAGATGGGTGAAACTGTAAAACTATGACAAGATTCCTCCAGCACGCCAAGCCATGGCTTGTTACTATGGTTTATTGATTAATGCATAGTTGGCTGGCTTCACACTGAGCTAAGCCATAAACCATATTGAGTGGAGTCATGTAACTTACCAAACCTCATCATGACTTAGCATATGTGTATTCAGCCATTAACTTCTTAATTCTTAATATATTATTCATTTGCATTTTTATTTTGCCTCTCCCTCACAGAACACCCAGTACCATACATTGCCTCCTCCAACTTCATTTTCACAAGAGCTTTCTAAGAATACTATGTGTGGTTATTCCAACAACATTTATGAAACTTCATGGCTGAGTGAAGAGTTGAATCTGGGTTTCCTAGACTGATAATGTCCTTACCAGGGAGTGGCTGTTAACACTTGATTGCTCTGTTCTGGGTTGCCTGCAGTTACAACATATTCTGAATAAAAGAAACTCTGACATCTGAAGTTTAAAGGTGATAGGTCTAACTCCTGCCACTGCACACAATGAACAATGTCCTGAAAATTTTTTAAAGATTATGCTTTCTGGGAATACATCAATATGGCCCTCTGATTGACTTGCTGATCCTAACTATACCCTGCAGATTTTGGCAATTTCAATGTTATATTGTAAAAATTGAATCCAGTCCTAAAAGCCCAACTCGAACATAAAAATAGCTCTCCTGAGTCAGTCAAGGACCTATTTTAGTCCAGGATTCATTTGTCACAGTAATCAAACACCTCTGGAGTGGTCAGAAGTAGGAGGTGGAAGCATATCCTTCCTCTCCTGTTGCTTCCCTAAAGCTGATATTTGGAGCCATGTTGCTTCAACCCAGTGGTAATACTGAAGTCTTCAAGACTAGTAGCCTTTAATCAATTTTTCTTCATTAGACTTATCCAATCTCCTTTTAAAACCATCCATATTAGTGGATGTTAATGGATCTTATGGTAATGCGTTGCTGTGTGAAGAAGTCCTTTCTTTCTGTCTGTTCTAATCTCCTTCCAATCAGTTTTAGAGGATTTTTCTGGTCCTAGAGAAGGAGACAAATATCTCCCTGTCCGTTTTCTTCATGCCATGCAGAGTTTTATAAACTTCAAGGTAAACGTCCCAAGCAGTTTAGACTTTTGTCCCCATAGTCTCATAATCATTTTGGTCACTTGTAAATCTCTCTGGGTGACTTTGAGCCAGTTACAATATCTTAGCCCAACTTCTTAAATGCCTATTGACAGGACAGTCTATCTCGTGGCGTTCATGAGGCTAAGCGTGAATGCCATCGTGAGGCTTCTGAAATATTGGTACTTAAGTAGAAATAACGTTTAGGGATGAACCCTTACAAGCGGCTTCATGACAGAGGGAAAGCAGCATTTAGTAACATGATCAGGAAAAGGAAAAACAAGGACGATTCTACTATTTCCATCCGCCCTCCCCCCCTACACGTTAGCTACATTTGCAGCTGCCTTTTTCCTTGTCCTTTTAACTACCTCTGCTGGGATAACATCCCTCTCCCCCGTGTCCCTTCACCCGTGCAGAGGACATTTCACTTCATTTACGGACCTAAAAGCCGTTCAAAATGCATTTATACCAACCGAAAAAACCTCTATCGCAGACTCTGTTGAACTCTACTGCGACGCTTCCTGGAAACTGTACCACGTGGCGGCTTCACGGGAGCGTCCATGACAGGCTGACGTCATTATCCAGCGCCTGCAGGCTTCAAAGCTTGATTAAGAGATGTGGTCACTTCCTTTGTAATAAAAGCTGCGGCAATTTGGCTTTTTTTATTCCAACCTACCACTACCTGTCCCCCGCATTAGTAATATGAGCGAGCAACGAGAGATTCGTTGATTTTAAAAAGAGAAATGAGAAGGAAAGGAAAATCTGAGTTGGATGAGTTTGTGTCTGCTTTTTCTCTTACAACGTTTGTAACTAAATACTGTAATACTTGGTGGTGGTATGGCTGAAAATAGGAATGGGTGAGGTTCTTGTTGAGGTTAATACGTATTTGGGACTGGATGGGAGAAGTTTTGGGGCAACTATAAAGAAAATATAGTATGAATATATGGAAAAACTACAAAATCAATTATAAATCAAGGCTTGATCACTACAACAGAATTAGACATTCTGGAAAATGAAATTAAATGGACTCTAAAAAATGTTGCAGGCGAATAAATAAATAAGAGGTCAGCATACAATAAAGGCTTATACATTTAGTTGGTACATTATTCTAAGTCAAGTTCTTTACTTGGTAGTACCACCAATGCTGTAAACAATGGTATCAAGCTAGCAACAGAACAAAATTATTTTTAGTAGTGACTATGTATTGGGTAGATAAAATGTTATGTAATACATATTTCCTCTCCCTTTCCCTGGGAAGAACAAAGCAACATATGTTCCACACCCTCCCAGTTTCACATAAGTTATGGTCAAAATCAGGATATTATGTTGTTTTCTTTCCAAGGATGCTGAGTACTGAATAAGAGTACTTAGATGGAGTAATGATATAGCCTTTCAATATCAATTACTTAGAATGGTTAAAGGGACATTGAAGAGCTCCAAAATGACATATCATTAAAACAGAAAAAATGGAAAGCAGATATAAAGTAGCACATATCAATGCATAAATAAATGAATCCTAATGTTATAAATATGCTAATAGGATTTGAGCTGGCACTGACTGACCAGAAACAGGGCTGTGATATAGGTCAGGGGATTTCAAACATCTTCAGTCTGCAGAACCTATTAGTTTTTTTTTTTTTATTCTTGGACCCATTGATTAAGATGTAAAGCTCTACTGAGAGAAAATACATAGTACTGTATGTAATAGTTCTGAAAAGGGCACATTTCATGTTAGTATTCCTCAGAAATGAATTGAAAGTAAAATTGCACTGTAACACTACAAAATCCGTGGGATGTAAACACTTAGTGCTCACTGAAGTTTATTGCATCTAGAAAGGGTATTGAAATGCTGAAAAGAAGCAGCTGTTTTTCACCTCTGCAGTATGAATGGAGGGAATATGAGATCTCCATTGAAGCCAAATGGATTTTAGGAGACAAAAGGAAATACTTTTTCACACAGCATATTGAATTTGCTGTCATAAGATAAATCGATGGCCAATGGCTTGGATAATTCTACAAGATGAGACAAATTCATAGAAAATACAGCTGTCAATGGATACTAGTGTAATTAGGATGCTACTGTGCTACCTCCAGAGGCATCTGGTTGGTCTAGGTGAGGACAGAATGCAGGACTAGATGAGGCATTCAGTTTGATTTAATGCAGCTCTGCTTATATTCCAATGCAGCTACTAAAATACCCTTTTTGGCTCAACTATAATAGGTGGAAAGAGAACCTCTGCCTTCCATTATGCCCAGTTGTCCTAAAATAAATTTTTGATAACATCACCTAGTTTGAATTAATGAAAGGGGATCAAAGGCACACAAAGAGTGTGCCTTCGGTGCATGCTGTAGCACATATAATTTCTCTTTATGTTTTTGCTGTTCTGGCCCAGCAAGACAGTGAATGTTCTTAATCTAATATCAGTATGAATTTAAATGTCACCTCAAGTTATCATGTTGTTTTCCTTCCTTTTCTTCTTATTATGGTCTGCTCTACTGCTTTCTCCTTCATGCTTTTTCATCGAGAGAAATACTTTGCTTGGAGTAGCACGATGGGGGGAGTTCAAAGTAGCTATAGGTGGAAAGTGCACTGTAAGGAGACACAGCATGTCATTTTCTCTTCTGTGACTGAAAGCTCCTGCAGGTGGATCTTGGCAAAGAAAAATATAGTTTAAATTGTACACTGTGATGATGGTGGATTTTGAGTTATGTATGAAGACAGACAGATGGCTGGAACAGCTTCTCTTACAATGTGACACACAGGCAGAGACTGCAAACAGGAGATTTTTGGAAGAAGGAAGTTGGGGCCAGACATACAATTACTGGAATAATGAATTTGATTCTGGCTTTATAGTATCTGCAGTTACTTCACCATGTTAAATAAGCATGTTTTTCAGGAATGGTTTCTCTATACATTTCAAAGCATTAAATCACAAGAAACTGTTTTCATACATGTGCATTCTGAATCCCCCCGCTTTTTTTGCAGCCCCCAGAGTAATCTTCTGACCAAACTGCTCAATATCATGATAATAGTTTCTGCCATTTTGAGACTGTAATAATGCATGTCTTCTATGGGTTGCAGAACCACACAAGCTGGTTCCATCTTGCCCACAGTTCAACCCAAGATAATGTGGCCAGTGGCAATCGAAGCTGAATGTTCTTTCTGGCTGTGGGATGGAGAGAAGCAAGCTCCCTGCAGTTATTGCTTCTTGGATTCATGGTTGAAGTCTGTTGGGTCGTCTTCTTCTTGTGATGTTCTTCCTGAATGTGGCCTTCCATTGGCTACAAGTTGAAGCCTGAATGTGTGCCTCTCTTCCTTTTGGAGTTCAAAAGCAAGCGAAGGATCTTTTGGCTCTAAACAACCTATTCTCTTCATGTGTTTCCAAAAGGAATATCTATGTGGGACTGGAGTTCTTGACAGGAAAATGGATTGGCTAAACTTGCAATGTTGCCATGCTATAGCTTCATAGAGATGAAAGCCAATCTCTTCTCAGATTGGTCCCAGCCAGGTTAAAAAAGAACCCAACCCAGAGAAGAATCAGAGAATTAGGATAAATATGGCAATCTAGGGAGCAGTGGGGTAAATGTGAACTATGATTTTGGATTTTTTCTTAGCTGTACCTTTTTATCTTTTATTCTATTTAGTTCAGTCTCTGTGTGTGTGTGTTTCTGGTGTGTGTAAAAGCCTACAGAATCCATAATTCCCCCTTTTTTTCTCATTATCTTTTCTAACCCAGTTCTTTAACCAAGATAAATATAATGAAAGACAATTATTTTGTTCTTGAATCAGCACTCTCATTCAGGCAGTGAATTTAGCCAATCACATTGACTGACAGCTGCTAAGCTACAGATAAGGAAAGAAAGGAATGGAGGAGGATTTCCACTTTCTTCCTCCTTTGTAAAAATGCAGAGAAAGATGGTGGCAGCATACAAACAGGTTCTCTCCAGGAGTGTGACAGGGTGCAGGAACATTATCAGTGAGGAATCTAGACACCCTTTGTGGAAGCCAGGCTGGGCCAGTCTAGCACATCTCCAGTTGCTATCTTTTGCAAGCAGCTACCTCATAACAAAGCTGCAGTAATCTGAGTGACACATCATGCTAAGGCAAAAACAATCTGGGTCATGATGGCTTTGCATGGGGATAGGCAACCTTTTAACTGGTGAAACCCAATACTTATATTTTGAGGGGAGAGCAAGGATTATAGTGGATAGTGATGATGAAGATGCAAAGGGGACCCAGATTTTATTGCTGTTTTCGTTGTGTTTTTGGGGGGGAGGGAGTAATAGGTTTTATTCTTTTTATTCTTGTTTTGTAAATTGTGGTAAACTCATTTTAGAAATCACATTGCAATTTTCATGTCCTTTTCACTCTTAGAAATTTGGGGAACTATGCTGATAATTTTTGGCAATTCTAGTTGATGAGGCTCTGTGGGCCACAGGGAGCCTTCGGTGCACAGCTCTCTGGGATTTCTAACAGATGAATCTTTTGTAGGTCAACCCAGAAATGCCAACAATTAAATCTAGGAACTCCTGAATGCAACACATGTGCTCTACCCCTGGACTGTGGCCTTTTCCAAAGTGTATTATGATATGCTACAGATTAAGTTGTTATAGTCATAGCTGCAGACAATGTGTGAAAACAGGAAACTTTGAAATCTGTAACGGCAAGATGGAAATGATGAACCATCCAGGATGTTGTTTTATTATTTATTTGATTTGAACATGGTGCTGTCCTAGATCACTCATTGGCTGGTAATGACTCAGATAAAAATCATTAAAAAATAAAATCAATATCCTAAAGATGAATAAAAAGAACAGCAGTTATAAATGTCTATTCAACAGAACAATTTTCTTTTAACTAAAACAAGCTATCAATACTGTCAACTACATGGAGGAATAAATGTGTCTTTACAGCCCACTTAAATCCATAAGGAGATGAATTGCTTTTGACAAAGCATTTCATAACTGTGGAGTAATGGCTCAAATGCCCTTTTTTTCTTTACATTGGTACACATTTTATTTCTCAGACTTGGGGGAGGCATAGGTTCTGCAGCTAACCATGATGCTAGAAAAATGATAGAATGTATAGTCGTGTCATGATAGAAACCAGATGTTAGGTGCAAGAATGTAAGTTGCAGGAGGTACACTGCAACAGCATGTTGCATGTTTTGTCACTTGCCTCTGCCCCCTCATGGCTGCCCTTGGGGTATAGTGTGTTATTCCTTTAATAGAGTTCACTGTATAATGACGCAGCAGATTTGCTAGGTATATATGTATGCTTTGCTATGGCTGGGTTTTGTTGTCTGTCTTCCCTTGTTTTCTCTTCTTTCATCCTATATCTAATATTCTCTTACTAAACTTGAATTGTGCTATGCCTTGCTGTTGATAGATATGACATGGGGGAAGGGAATGACAGAAAGCTTCCCCAGGTGATTTTGTTCTTTTCCGTTGCTTAATGTTTGCTTAATGTTAGCATCTGACCTCTCCATTTATCATCGTTCCTAAGATCAGACTAGCAGAAACAAACTGTAAGG